GGGGGGGGGGGGGGGGGGGGGGGGGGGGGGGGGGGGGGGGGGGGTACAACCTGCTGAACGTCGGGATGCGTAGCATGCACGAGGAACAGCATAGCTCCGCGACAGATTGCAAATGAAAAACAAAAAAAATCGATGCGTCACAATCGGCTGAAGTTCATTATTCGTGAGTGCCCAGGAGCAGATGCCCGTCCACAATCAACAGGGTGACGAAGAAAACAAAAGAAACACACCCCATCAATGAAGACTCTGCAAAATGTTGCAACACGCGGCATATGCATAAATCTTTTACCATAGAACCCACACAGACTGCGTGGTACCAACATGTTTCCGTATGGTAGCCTTCACCTGCGCTACCCCCAGGCCACTTATCATCCCATCCCGCTTACAGCGCGGGGCGTTCAAATTTGGCGGGCATCAGCACGCGGCGAGCGATGTTTCCAAAGGTATGGGCACTGCAATGTAAACGACGGCCTTCTCCATCGACGGGGTACGGCTTCGTTTGTAACTCACAAATGCACTGCAGCCACACACAAACTCCTGAATCCAATGCTAAGAATCAACCTTTTGGGTAATCCAGATAAAACATTTGAGCGGCGACAGGTCGCTCCACAGAGCAGTCAAGCCCCCGCGAAGATTATCGCGGGCGCACCCTAGATCAAAGGGACCGTAAGTGGCGAACGCTTCGCGGTTCTGTCTGGCATATTCTCAAAAGATTGCTTCTACTTTCGTCTCAGACCAAAGGGGGCAGTGTTGACATGAGCAAAACATGTGAAACACGAAACAGATGTGGTATATTACATGTAGGCAGCACATGCTGCCGAAACCCTGCTCTCACGCGGAGGCGAATCGGCTTGCTCTCATCTCGGGCAGCGTGAAAACGTAAGTATTCCCGTACCTGCAGGCAGTCGTATCCGCCCGACCACGTGCCAACGCGAAAGCAAAAACGGCGGCGGTATCTCTAGGTGCTTCTAGGAAACAGAGCCTATTCGTCGCTCGCCGAACCTGTGGTTGACCTCAACACAGAGGCAGCCGCCATCAACAAGCACCTCCCCCACACCCCCTCATCTTACCTCAAGTCATGCCGACAAGGGCAGACAGACCCCTCTCCCATCACGAAACCGTCACGCGCTGTGTCTCACCTCAAGCCATCCCCGCATAGGTAGACGCGTTTCTCATCACGAAACCCTCATCCGTTTTGCCTCCCGGCCAGCGCCGCCACCGCTTCCGCCCGCGCCAACGGTGGACCCACCTCCCCCGCCGCCGCCGCCGCCGCCGCCACCGCCGCCGCCACCGCCACCGCCTCCAGCCCCAGGCCCAGCCCCGGCCTTCACGACCGGGGCCATCTCCTTTGGCCCCGAAATAAGCTCCACGACCGGCATCGCCGTCACCACCGCCTCCTCCGCCGCCAACCTCTCCACCGCCCCAACGCTGCCCCCGCCGTCGCCGCCGCCGCTGCTGCGCGGGCCTGTTGCTTTCTTCCCATCCCCGCCGTCCTCGCTTTTCGTGGCCGCCTCTGCCAGAGCAGCCAGGCCTCCGCTCCCGGCCCGGCGCCGCCCCCTCTCCTCTTCCCCGACCCCTTCCCTATCTCCGCAGCTGTTCCCATCGGGCACCACCGCCGGTCCCGAGCACGCCTTCCCGGGAAAACCGCCTCGTTGTTGTTGTTGTTGCTGCTGCTGCTGCTGCTGCTGCTGCTGCTGCTGCTCCGACTGGGCCGGATCGCTCGCCCAGCCGCGCCCTCCTTCGCCGGGCTGTTGGGCCGAAGAGCCGGGGGGGCGACCGCTGCTACCGCCGCCGCCAGGAGACTTGGATCTCCCCGTCCGCGAGCCAGTAGTACCGTTGTTGGAGGTATTCCCGCAGCCGGCTCCACCAGTCACTGTCGCTCGGCTGTAGAGGCGAAACGCCATCCCGTGATATGGGGTTAGTTCGTTCGTTCAACGGGCGAATCGGCCTGCGTGTTTACCGCACCCTGCAGCAGCGTTTTAAGTCCCACTGCCGCCGCCACCCCAGTGCAACAGTTGTACGACAGTGGCACTGCCGCACTACGAAAAACAGGTACACGGTGAGCGTGACATATTCAGTTGATCACACATATCTTCTCACCAGCTGGCATCCAATTCTCTACGTTCACAATCAGAAGAGATATACTGGCGAGGGGCTGGCAGGGCCGAGAAAATGTTTGTCAATCCCAACCCTGAAAATCGTGGTGCCAAGGCAACAACACTAACGACGATCGTGATGACGACCGCAACAGTATCATAAGCAGCGACTCACCTTGTTACAGAGCCCTCCTGGCTACCGTCTCCCGCCTTCCCTCTGCTGCTCTCCCCGTCCCCTTGCCTCGTGCCCTTCGAACGTGGCCAAACAAGGAGCGCCCAACGCCAAGCACACAGGCACGGCGCGTGCCGGAACAAATCTTATTAAAACCACAACACTAGCTACACCAACATCGAGCACGCTAGCAACGATAACCAGCTTTCAGAGTAGCTGCTGTGTGGAAATGGCAATCGAAGCTTCAGAATACCTGCCCCTGGGTACAGTTAAGGGGCTGACCTGCAACCATTCCGTGAGCCAACCTTTGTCAAAAGCCACCAATCACCTGCAGCTTATGCAAGACCACAACATGTCCCGGCCGATATTCATTCGTAACCCTTACAACAGCCGAATATTTTGACGCGCACCATGCGGCAACAGAACCAGCCTAAACATATCCACGGCGTGAACAAAAAAAGATCCTCAAAGCAGCTGATACGACGCAATATCACACGTCATGTATCGCCGGGACCCCCATTCCAAAGGAAGGTACCCGAAGCTGGCTGTCTGGAGTCTGGTCCGAGTGGGCATCTATTACTGTGTCATGGCCTTTGGAAGCGTTTCCCGGTCTTAGGCCCACCGACATCGGCTTCTCTTCATGGGTCCGCCGATTGGTGCGGCATATGCAAAAACTAAAGGCACACGCACGCAGAACCGATGCTTTCCACACTAACGCTTCCACACACCTTCCCGCACGAGCCGCCCCAGCCCTCCTGCCCCGCCGCCTCCGCCGCCCCGTCCGCGCGGGACTCGCTCTCCTGCTGGCGTCGCTTGTCTTTGCGGCCACTCCCGCCCCCCACGCCCCTCCTCCCTCCCCCCGCTTCCGCGCCGCCGCCCCCCCTCGACTCGCTCGACTTCCCGCTCCTGCGCTTCTTCGTCTTTCCTCTCCCGCTGCTCTTCTCACTGTCACCGCCGCCGGCTGCCCCCTCCCGCCCGTCCTTGCCGCTCATGACCGCGGAGCCCCCGGAGCCTTCTCCGGCCCCCGCGCCGCCACCGCCGGCCCACAACACCCCCTTCCCCCCTGTGCTACCGCCGCCGCCCCCGGTGGCAGCGCCGCCCGCGGGAGCGCCACTTGTGTTAGCTCCTGACTCCGCGAAAGACGCCGACCCCGCTGCGGCCCCCGCTGTGGTAGTCATCCCGCTCCCCGCACCCCCCCCGGCTGATGTTGCGGTGCCTCTGCGGAGGTGCGCCGGGGCCGAGGAAGAGTTGGATGAGTTCGTCGCCGCGGCGGCGGCAGCGGCGGCAGCGCCGGAACCGGCGGCGACTCCGCCATTGTTGCCGCCGTTGGAGTGTAGCTGCTGTTGCTGCTGTTGCTGCTGGGAGGAGGCGGCTGTGGTGGAGTGCGGAAGTCGACGCTGCATGCACTTGGCGGATCTGAGAGGGGGGGGTGGAGGGGGTAGAGGTTCATCATCAGAGATAGGTAGAGACAGACAGACAGACAGACAGACAGACAGACAGACAGACAGACAGGTCTACAGTCGTACACCACACACGTTCATCGGTCAGGCGGTTAGCGCGGTCGATGCAAATAACAAAGGCCCACAGAGACACCAGCCCCTCGCACCACTAGGGACCGCACGACTAGTGAAGGATACCCCTGGCTGCTGCACTCACTTGTGGATCTTGAACCCGAAGATGAGGGGGGTGTAGCTAGACCTAGCAGGGTCCGGCACGAGCCTGTCGAACGTGATGAAGAACAGGTGTGCGAAGGAGGTACCAAAGAATGCGCCGTCCAACGCTGCAAAAGAAAAGAAAAAAAAGGAAAAATGTTAGCCCAGCAGCCGGCTATTCTCCCGCTCACTGCGAAGACTTCCAATACATGCCCCGCGATTCTTGTGGTATTACCTCGAAAGGGTAGTTTTTCTGTGGTTGCATATGCTACATATTATGATGAAAAAATAGGAGCCAACAGAAAAAACAATACCGAGGCCAGCAGTCCCTATGAACTTTCGACCAACCTCACAACGTATTGGACGCATGGAAGCAGAGCGCGAGCTCACAAGCCATGAGCAAATTGAGATACCAGGAGCAATACTACTTGGAGGTGGTGTCTTGTTTTGCGGCCACCCATATTCAGTTGGTAGGTTGGATGGAACCTTCAGCGTAGTCTCCTCCGCCCCCCTGCCCCCCCTCCCTGTCGGACACCCGTGTTGATTAACAGAAAAAAAAAGCAAGCGACCACTAAGTCAAACCAGCAATCCCGTCATTGGTCAGCTGGAGAGCGAACGCTTCGATCAAAAACATTAACTGAACAAACATGACCCCGGTCGACATGGCTTCCATGGACCGGCAGCTACGCATGGACCGGCCGCTACGCGAAGAACACAGCAAAAACGCGGCGAAAGTGGCGACTTCGCTGTAATCAAACATTTGGGAGGGTTCCCACAATGGCAATAACAACTGTGGACAAACTAAAAAAGCCGAAAGTGGCTGGAAAATGCCTCATCAGTGCTGCAGTAGGAGGGCTCCTCCATCGGTGGTATTAGTGTCAATGTTGTCACACGACAGCTTCACGACCAGGAGGGGCAACAACAAAAATATGGTGACTGAATGAACGCCTTGCCAGAATCTACGCCATTTGCAGGACCGAGCGTACCTCCTTCGCGCAGTTATCAATGGGAAAAACTTGAATACGCCAAAGGGAAAACCAACATATAACAACATCGGAGTGGCTGTACTGCGCCGCCGGATAAAAAAAAATGGCATAAAAACGGTGTTCTTCGACGAAAAGAAAGCCTTGCTCGAGGTGTGTTAATGGCTTCCCCGCGTCCTGTAGGGGGTGAGAGAGGGAAGTGGCGCGGATGGGTGTCATGTCACTCACGTTCACCACCGTAGGGACTGACGGTGTTGTAAACGTCGCAGCACCGCGGGCAGTAGAGCTTCACCGCCTCCTTCTTCGGCTCGTCGAAAATGCCCACCTGTTCAGATTCGGAGGGGAGCCACAGAAAATACAGACAAAAAACATGATAGGTAGGCAGGCAGGCAGACAAGACAGATAGATAGATCGGCAGATAGACAGAACAGACAGATAGACAGACAGACAGACAGACAGACAGACAGACAGACAGACAGACAGACAGACAGACAGACAGACAGATAGACAATTATGGGTTGCAACTAGACCCTCATCAACGGAAGAAAACAAAGGACCTTCTGAAAACGTACGAGCACACACTAGTCGGCATGAGACAGACGCAAACAGAAGTTTCGTTGCGCAGTAAATAGGCGCCCCCAGACAACACCCTCGTAGCTCGTTGAGCACAAACGCCACGAACCCAACGGATGGCATCAGGACGCAGGGGAAGTGACGTGATCATCGTGTGCCAAGCGCCATAGTCGTGGGTGCACCACACAAATAATTCAAAGCGATTTTCGCGTGAAGCTTCTTACCGGAACAACCGGTTGGTTCTTGCACATGGTCCTTGGACATCTCCCGAACTCCGCCAGGCGGTACTTCTTGTACTGCAAAATAAGTCNGGGGGGGGGGGGATTACTCCTCAAGGAATACCATGTTACAAAACAAGTCAAACGAAGTGGAATATCTTCGAGGAAATCTTTCGGATGATGCTGTAAGGAAACAAATCGAAGGGGAGGGGTCGCTTCTTAAGGATACAAAAAATCTGCGAGACCCGAACCCCGCCCTCTCTGCATGAGATGCTGTTCTCCAGGCCTTTCCGGCTACGGGTGAGGCACCTCGGTTATAGTCTTGTCTTGCAGCCACTCTTCCCTTCTCCATCGCTATTTGGGAAAAAAACTCTTGTGGGTCCTAACGGATTGTTTCACACGACACAAAATCATTGATGATGCTAATGTTTGACAACAAAGCGCTACATTTAAGTGTATCAAATGAATCTACTATCGTTGAAACAAATCTTTTACAGCGTTAGGTGGACCAAGTCACCTGCTAGCGCTCACGCCAACGGCGTAGATCACGCCCGTCCGACAAGAGATCAAACCAACAACGTTGTTAGCACAAGCAACAACAGACGACGAGACGACGACCTGCGTCACTATACGCTACAACACACCATCGCTTCGAGGCCCCTTGCGGTGACGATGAAGCGAGCGTGAATCATGCCGTAGAGCATGAAGGCCGACTGAGCCACCACCGGGTCTTGGGGCTCATCCGCAGCTTCAAATAAAAAACGTGCACCGGGCGACGGGGCGGGGGGGGGGGGCACGACCTTGGAGAAAAAAAAAAAAAAAGAGTGACATCTCCTCCATGCACCAACCCAATGATGTGTGGTACGAGGTAGGCTTCAAAGAGAAGGAACTGTGAACAGAGGTGTGTATGACAGCACGCTTCGCAACGAGGGCATGAAACACATGTGACAGCACGCTTTGCAACGAGCGCATGAAACACATGTGACAGCACGCTTTGCAACGAGCGCATGAAACACATGTGACAGCACGCTTTGCAAAGAGGGCATGAAACACATTAGAAGCGGCGGCGTCTGGGGATGCTGTTGGACATGGAAAGACAACGAGAATATGTGGAGATCAACAGCCAAAAGAGGGGTCTTCCTTACCAGTTCGGTCCAGGATTATGTCCAGGCAGCCCTGAAAATTGGCGAAGTGGTGCCGCAGTCCGTACAGGTTGAACCCATCCTCGATGTAGCTTCTGTCCACCTCGCACAACATACCTGAAACAAGTTCATGCGGCGTACATCGCATTGGAACACTACAAAAGGCTGGTTTTCTTCCCACTCGGTGCAAACTAATCGACACGTCCCGTCGAATGCGGTATTTTCTCGGACGGTGATCGCTCTATTGATTGCATGTACATTTTCCCAAAAAGAGATAGAATGGGGTTTGCAGACGCAGCCTGCGGTGCGCCAGATATGTTGCATGGAGGATGCCATCGGAAGCAGCACTGAAACCAGATGTTGCTCGGCGCACATGTGGCATGAGCCAGCATCGGGTAGATGGACGAAAGGGGGTACACAAGTGTAAGACGGCACAACAGCACTGAAAGGTATAGTCAAGAGCGGCGTGTACCTCCCATAGAAGGCGTGGGCTGCGAGGGTACAAGAATATGCCCACCTCCTTCACTTTTCTTGGTTCTCTTCCTGCGCAAGATGGATCTCAATCATCCCCGAGCCACCATAAACGCAGCGAGCGGATCCCTTTTCTCTACTATCATTGATAACTGTTCGTTCACTGCAATGTTTGCATCATCTGGTGGATCAATTTTTCCCTTGGAGGTGCTGATTTCTGTGTGCTATGTCCTTCATCGGGGCTATCTTCCCTCCGTCGCAACCCCCTGCATGAGCTTGGCTACCTTCGGCGCTCCTCCTCCGCCCCACTCCTGCAACTCCCTCGCGTAAACATCCAGCTCTCATTTAGTCGTATCCCGCTTTGCGATGCACCGCCGGTAACCGACGCGATACACCAGTCCATCGGGTTGGGTAGGAACATGGGTCCGCTTACTGGAGACACTCCGCCCTCCCGCAGCTAGCGGCGAGATTCACACATGAGCCGCGCGAGAACTTTTTTTTTTTTCTTTGCGATATTGTCGACTTTCCAGGTCCAGGGCGGTCGTCGACGATGCTCTGCCCGCGCCTCTGTGGCTTGGCCTAGCTTTAACTCTTCGGGCCTTTGGCAGTCAGTCTAGCTCGTCGCCAGAGAGTGGCCGAAGCTCCCCACAATGGCTTGCCATAGGTTCGGTAAAACTCGCTTCGTGTCTTCGCCCCCATCCACACCATATACGCCGAGGAGCAACCGCTGAGAGGATACCCAAACAGGAGGAAATAATCGCGTCCAGAGTAACCTATCTTCCTTCTCCCGTTTGCCTCCCTCTCAACGATGGCGAAACCTCCATCGTAGCAGCGATCTGCCGATGCAACTGATCTGCTGCGTGCTTGGCGATACTGCTGTAGCAACATCTGGGAGAGCGCTTTCCTGTCAGCCCAGCTTTTCTTTGTGTACACGCCTTGACCTGTGCCATACGCGCATGTAGATCCGAGGGCGTACGACCAACCCCAACTCGAACCCAGCCGTTCCGCCCATCAGTGCTCCGCGTGAACCGGTAGGATCCTTCCGCCGCAAGCCTCAGGTGGCATGGACGTACCATGGATGCTTCTCCATGGCTACACGTGCGTTGTAGCTGTGGGGGAGGAACCAGCCAGTCTTTGGGGGGGAGTGACGAAGTGGCGCAGAGGCGTCGTACGCTTCCGAAACGCATCGGCATGTTCCTCCCCGTCCCATGGGTTACAAAAGCTTGTCGACCTCTCGATCCAACCGATAGGGGCAGGGCAGAATCCTTCCAGGAAAATTCTTTGCAAGCGTCACCAACCACCAGCCAGCCTCCTATACGCACGACCTCTCTTGCCTCCGTGACGCGCATTCCCGGGAAAATATTCCACGGCGCGTTTGATACTGACGTGTTTTCCCCCATGCCTTTTGCTACGTCGTGTTCTCCGAAGTGCAGCGGATGCGATAGTGCGGCGTGAGGCCAAGCCACAACGTCTATTGTTTCCTTGGGTGCCGTTCTTTGGGCTACGACAACGGCAGCGTGCCTGATCTTCGTCCCTAACCCTCTCCATCAGTTGGCTCTGCTCTCCTCTAGGACGGCTTGTGCGCCTCCTTCTGCTGTGCGGGTGTGCGTCAGATCCTAACTGCCATCGACCATGCTAGGCGACTGAACAGCGAGATACGCGTGGTCGCACCGTAGGTGATATACGTAAGATACCACACCCTCTGGACCGATTTCCAAAGCGCTGTCACTCCACGAAGAATACTACGTCAAACTCGCAAAACACGTTATCGGAAAGCTATCGACGATACGGTTCCAACGCCGCCATCTTCGGCACCGTTGTGCTCTTTCTACCGAGAAATCGAGCTTTGGAAAATCGGTCCAGGGGGTGTGATGTCTTACGCACCCTACCGCAAGTGTGTGCCTGTGGCCAAGATGCTTCTTTGCCTGATTCTTCCGGAAACGATGCGTCCACGTCTTGGGCTACATTCATGGCAGCAGGCGAAGAGTGTTCTGGAAGAGGACAAGAGAGGAAGTACGAACAGCCTCTGCTGCTGCGCTGCACGCATGACCCCGAGGTACGGCCAAGGTAAAGCACACAGGCTATGATACGCGAGGGCGCAAAAAAACTACCATCACGATGGAAACTCGTGGTCATTTCATCACGTCTCTCCTGGACGTACATAGATTTTCCCGCCCTTCGGTATATGTTTGGGTGGCACCAGCCGGGGTCACACAGCAGGAAGGCCACACAAGGATTTTGTCCATTTCTACACCTGCTGTAGAAATATTTAGCCGTTCACTTTCCCTCGTCGGGCGTTGAGTTTGAATATTGTGCACACACGAAAATCGGTGCCGATCAAATCGTTTGGGCATTTGTAACGCGAGAAGAAACAAGCCAGTCTTTTTCGTGGCTCCGCCAAGATTCGATTTCACATCGAAACGTTGCGAGAGTTGTACCGTACCACCGAATGGCCCCGGGTTTGAACCGGGAATTTTGCGGAGTGGTGGGCGTGAAGCACAGCAGAGGTATCGAATGTCTCCCTCGACTACGGTTCTACTGCTGTTCTGAGCCGTGACCAAACAGGCTCTTTAGAAAGACGCTGTGCGGCGACTCAAAAGACACAAGGGGTAACGGCCCGCTATGAATACAAACGAGGATGTACAAAAAGTGGCACGCAGGTACGAAGTCTACAACAGGTCATGGTGGGGGAGTCAGGGGTCGAACACGGCCGTGATTGGTCAACCGGGAAACATACGAAGAGGGTGTTCATGCTCGGAGAAGCGGTGATTGGCTCTTTCGCGAGGAAAACATCACGACAACGAAGCGAGATTGGTTTTTGGAGAAAGGACAAGGCCCGGAAATCGGGACTGCCGTGCACTGCGCACCTCACTTTGCACTCTACCACGACCTTACCTCATGTTGGCAGTTCCCTGACTGCACCAAACGCGATTGGAGCACTGGTCGGGCGGATAAAAACTGCACGATTTTCCCACTGCTGGGATATAGCTGTAATCAATTGTATTCCGCTTCTGTGCGCCATCTCAAGTTTTCGAGCCTGCGGGTGGCTCTCGCTTCTTGATCAGTAGTAGGACAACAAAATGACTGTGAGGTGCGGTCGAGAGCCAAATGCCGGTGTTGTGCCAAAGAGACTAGGGGACAATCCAATTCCATGGTTACCGTGGGGAAACCCACCGAGGATGAGGTGCGTGAAAAATGGCTGATGGTTAGGTCCTGTGTGCATGCTGGCGTGTTTTCATAGCTCTTTCGTGCGGTCAACATTCGGCAAAACGCTGCACGTGGTGACCACGTCACCCTGCGTCATCGATTCCGCCGCATCTGGCGGTGGCGTATCAGCGTTCGGTACCTGCTAGCTGCCCTTGTGTAGATAGCGTCAACACAACGCGGGCCTGCTTGGCCAAGAGTCCTAGTGGCGCCCTCCTAATTGGGCTTTTCAATCCGAGCGCCACGGATAACGTGTCAAATACTTCGTAGGCACTAAGCGCTTTCTTCAGCGACGGTGTGGCGATTCAAAACCGCACCACACAGAAGCCGAACACCCTCATGAACAAAGCAACAGCAGACAGCAGGGATCTGTTTGTGTAGGAGACGTGAACACAAGGATACGGCGATATGTACGCTGCTGTTGTGCTACCTGCAGCACCGGGAGGGAGGCCGCGACGTAGAAAATATCACGCTGGGTGAGTGCCGGTCTTTTCGGCGCGTTGCGCAGATGACGTGTGATGTGTAAAGACGTACACAATACGACCACGGACCAGTTGGGGGAAGAAGGACCTCCCGAGATTCAGAATCAAATTTGTCGGCAGCCAGAGATGATGAGGCTTCATCGTGCAGGGCAACACCAATTCTATCAGCCTGTCGCCTCGTACCAGGCCAAAGTCCTACGCTCGAGCGTCAGAGATGATCAGCACGTGCACAGGTCTCTTCCTACCTGCTAAACCCAAACTCGCGCAGCCTATGAAACGACACATGGTCGTGTCGCGTGCTGGCCGCTTGGGCCGGAAGAGAGAAAAGAGCGCGCATTTTTTTTTTCGATATGACGCCGGGAGCAGCGGGGGCTGCCTTCGTTTGCCCGGAAAATCTTTACCGCACAGCCGCCGGGGCAGACCTTCAGCGACTGCACCGATACCTCACTGTCTAGAGATAGTACCGCTTTCCCGCCCCAATGGGGATGCAGCGCTGGTGTTGTCTGCTGCCGCCGCAGCCGCCGCCCATGCCTCTCCGTCGAGAGAATTACCTCCCCCCCGGCCCTCCGTGTAGCTAGCTCTGGAGCGCCTCTCCTCCTTGTACCGGGGCGAATTTTTCTCGCTGCAATGGGCGTGGTCGAGCGGCAATGGTTCTTCTCGCTGCATATCTCACCTGATGTTGCTACCAGCCTCTCCTGGCGCAGCCTTTATCTCTCTCCCGCCGCGTGCGTGTCCTGCTTGGTTGTTATTTTCATTTTCGAAGGCCATGAAAGCTGGGGGGCACGCAAATGAATAACAAATACCCCGTTCATATTTTCTACCTTTTTTTTTTTCTTCATGTGCGTATGACACAACGAATACATCTCTATCTGTAAGAAAATTGTTTTTTCGTTCTGCGTGTGTGGGATGACGCGTGACGTACGTACTTCCCTCAGCCCGAACAAGTGGTGGTGTTCCCTCTCAATGCCGCTTCGTCGCGGCTCGATGGCACACGTGCAATTAAAGATGGCAGCCCGCATACTCAAATATGGGAAACAGAGCGCATAATAATGTCTCTTTTTTTGTTCGCGTCCTCTGCTATGCATGTTAACCCTGCACTCTGTGGGACAGAGAGAGATAGATGGAGAGAGACGTCTCTCCAGTATGCCGCGACGCGGCGACACAAAAAAAGGTACGCATAGACTGCTGTACGCAAGGGGGACGGGGGGCGTCAGGCGTGGCTTCCTGAGACGCAGACAGGGAACCCAAGATGAACAAGCCGGTGAGCGCAGCAAGCAGTGTCCCTCCTGTCCTGTTCCTGGTGATAGCCAATATCTCCAAGCGCTGCAATATTCGCTCTCTCATCGCGTCGGCGGTGGCCTTCCGAGCAGAAATGCTCATTGGTGAGAAAGATGGTTGTTGCCAGATACATTGATAGATTCCAACACACGTACATTGTGCATGGATCTCCATCTTCTCTCTTGTATCCATACGTTGGGGTTGCCTCGTGCGTGCCTTGCACTACGGAACTTGATCAAGAAGATGCCGTTGCCAAGTTGTACCGTAGCGTCCGCCATGACTACACGTCTTCTTGCAAATAAGGATTGATTTGTTGGTGCCAACCTCCACATCATCAGCTGATGAATCTGTACCCTTTTTTGTCTTGGGCACGGTTGTATCCTGTAAATGACACAAGATAACACATCCCCTGGACCGAATTTCAAAGCTCGATTACTCCACGACGAAGAGGATGCATACACGAACGGATAAGTTTTCAGAGAGCTCTCGACCAGACGGCTTCAACGCCGCCGTTTGCGGCCCTGCGACTGTTGCTGCTTTTGAATAATCGAGCTTTGAAAATCGGTCTAAGGGGTGTGTCATCTTGTGTCATACGGTACTCTGCTACTGACCTGGAGCAACTCCCATTCGAGCTTTCGGCTGTCTGTGAGCCCTGCAGTGTATTTATTTTCTCGTTCATGGCGGTAGTCCGTAGTGCGCTACACCTTCCGGTAGGCGCTGCAAAAGACTTGAGCTCGTTCATCCCTTTGGAACGGGGTAAAAACAGAGTATCTCGAACGGTGCAGTCTCCTCTTTCTTTTAGGTGTTGAATACGTATTTCTACGCAGCCGCTGGTCCCCAGTCTACCAAATCAGCAAGCGAGCCATCAGGCTCTTCATGGATTGCTACGCGTGCGTGCGTGTAGACCTCAACCCTACAATGCACGTGCAGTGGTTGGCCCCCCAAGTAATACACTGCCGGTTGTTCATAGAAGAACCCCCTCCCCTCCCTCCGTCCATCTCTCCTTTCCGAGGGGATCGAAAGGATCAGTGAGCGTCAACACCCTATACGTGAGAGGGAGAAAATGAACGTATAGTAGTCCAAAGGAGTCATGGTTATTGGAGACGACCTGTGGTACGTGCAGGAGCTTAATCGTGCTCGGCAGCCCGTAGGTTATGCGTGGTCGAACTGCCTGTGTTGTTCACCTCCCAACGTAAGCGAAGAAACCATGAGGTAACCCCTTCCTCCCCCTCTGCCTCCCACGGCGGATCATATATATGCCAGCTCATCCCCTCCTTTGTATCCCCGCTTGTTTTCTTCACATGTTCTCCCTCCCTCCCTCCCTCCCTCTCATCCCTCTTCTCGCACACGGCGCTCTTCATCATCAGTCGGCCAGCCGAAGTTCTCCATCGAGACGCACGCGCCGAGAGGCCTCCCCCCCGGAATAACCTTCACGAGGTTTTCGGACCTGCCGTCGTGCCGGGACTACGTGCACTCGAGAGGGGGCACGCTGATTGGCGTCGAGATCGGAGGGGGTGCGAGGAACATCGACGAGGAACCGTTCCTGGGAACGTGCGCGTTCATGCCCGGAAACGAGGTGAGTAGTTAGTTGGCGCCCGCGATTAAGAAAATAATTTTGGCGATATATTAGAAATATCGACTCAGGAACACACGTATCTCAGGCATGGATCCTACACTCAACTTAAACTCTATGTGCTCGACGATGGTGACAAAACAAGACATTGAGCTTGACCCCAAATTGACGTTAACTTAAAGCGGACGCGAACTGTGCGTGTATGAGACACAACAATGAATGCCAACAATGTCTGAAATCAGAAGCACCGAAGTGAATCTGCCTGTCGGTCGGTAACTCAAGAATTGTTTCGTTCCCTCTCTCTCTCTCTCTCTCTCTCTCTCGTTCTTGACGTCCTGTGCTCTTCGATTCCGATCAGGGATCGGGTATGAGTGAGCAGCAGAAAGCGTGCTGCGACTCCTTCGTGTACATCTCTCAGCACGGCGGTGGGACGGCGTCTCTCAACGTCGCCGTGGCCGCGTCCATCGTCTTGCATCGGTACGCCGGTTGGAGGTCCAACATGGGCACAACAACAACAACAACAACAACAACGTCAACACCATCAACATCAGAAGCAGCACCAACAGCAACAGCAACAGCCACAACATCAACACCGCCACCACCAACACCACCAGCGGCGGCAGCACCAAAACCAACAACGAGAACATGAGTCGGTCCTGCCATAAAGATTTTCTTGTCGCCTTACATCCCCCAACCAACTTTTTTTTTTTTGTGGATTGATAGGCAAAGAATTCGGGCCAATACAGCAGTCCAACAAACCAGGAATGTCCGAAATGTTCGAAATTTTCAATTTTGGAACCTACTGTCCACGGATTGACGTTGCTTCAGTAGGGAGGGGGGGTAATTCACGGAAGCACCCTCGAGGCATGAAAACGGTGCTGCAATTAGTTATGTGGAACAAGGAGTGTTGCGGCTGATTTACGGCTGTCGCCGTCCATGTGTTGACGTTCACGTATTTTTTTGACATCTAAAAGTCTACTCGTGTCGCAGACAAAACGGGACCAATAATTGACCAGAAAGGAACCGTTCAAGAAACGAAACAAGAGGTCGTCTTCTTCAACAATATGATATATTTGTCGCTCAAGGCACGTACTCAATTACAGTTACCCTCTCGCCCTGTCGACGCACCATTGTTTGAAAGCAGCAATTGACGACAGGGAGATGTGAGCAGGAACTCGCTTCAGAGGAGAGGGCAAAAACCGCAAAAAAAAAAGGGGGGACTACATTGTACACCTTGTCGATCGATCGTAGTAGCCGGGATAGGTATACAATGATTACCGCAGCTTGCCTCGGGCAACCGTGCTGGTCCTCTACGAGAGTGTTGTTTTTTATTGTGGAATCTCATTTTCACCGGGCGTTGCAAACCCGGAATTTCAGTTGGGAACTTAGGGTTGGAAAACGTTGAGTAGGTATTTTCTTGTTGATACTACCAGGTGAGGTGACTCAAGGTGGTGTAAAGAGCACATACGAGATGAATTTTCGACAAAAACCGATCAATGCCTTCGTAGTGCTAACCGGGATAGGTATACAAATTGCATGTTTTTTTTAGGGACCGTTGGCTTCCTTTCATCGCCTGAGGGGGCGCACCAATTCATGTCTCAACGTGCTTCCGAGTGTACTATTTTCATGTGAGACAACAACAACAACAATTGCACGCCTGAACCATCATAACATGTCGTTGACACCACCCTCTCGTAAAACATCAAGTAAACATACCTAAAAAAAGCGCAACGAAAAAACGGTTCAACAAAAGACGAGTCCTTCTCGCCACATGCACACATCTCGGCGTGCCATCTCGCTCTACTCTTTGGCGAATTGCATGCTAGTTCCTCAAACGCATCAAACATGCTAGACCTCTGCCATCACGCGTGGGTTGCAGTTCGTCGTCGCACGCAAAGCTGCCTGTCTGTGTGAAACGCACGAGCTACAACCGCTGCTGTAGTTAATACGGCAATGAAAAACACACTTCGACCCCGAGAACATCACAACATCTATGCGCACGAGCTACTTACTGCTGCTGTAGTTGATACGACGATAACAAGACATCCGACCCTCAGAACAACACAACATCTATGCACACGGTTCGCCCAAAAGGCCACGGAGAAGGGTTCAAACCGGCGACCAAAGGAAGCACAGCAAGAAAAACACGGACTGCTGTGGTGGGGGTACACAAAACAAAAACCAGCGTTTGGTCGCCAGAATTGGTCATCACTATTTCAGCAAAAACGACGCAAGCATCATGCAACGAGCCTTGCCCTATCGAACAGTTACAGCAGTTATCACTACGTAGGTGCCCAACACAGTTAGTCTCGCTAAAGTATACACAGCGGTCACCGAAGTTCCGCGACTTGGCTAATTGACACTCATCGACGACAAGCACATGGGTGAGGTGCACCACCGCAGCTACAACCCCCCATTCCCCCCCTACTTAATCGTTTCCACGGGTTTCGAGCCAGAGGAGGCGAGGGAAGTCGGGGGTCCTGTCTTGCTGGCCCCCTCCAAAGGCGTTTCTATTTGTGCCGACACCGCCGTGGGTTCTGCTCGAGAAGGAGTCGTCGCCGACGAGGACGAGGTTAACACCGCTACCGTTACCGCGGCGGCGGACGGAGGCAGCGGTGGTCGCTGCTGTACGGATGTCGAAGTTACCGGTGGGTCGGTAGGTTTCGTAGGCTCACGCACCGCCGGCGCCGCCGGTTGCCGTTGCTCTGGAACCGGCGCGTCGGCGGCTATCTTCGCCTCAACTGTCGTCGGCAATGCGGGCTGGGTCTGAGTCGAGGGCGTGACGGTTGCCTTCGGCTCGCCTGACAGCCCCGCGGGTGGTTGTCGTTGGATCGACGTGGAAGAGCTCGGCGAGCCGTCGACAGGCTCCTTCGGCTCCGTTGCCGCCAGAACCGCTGGCTGTTGTCGGGCCTGAGACAAAGCCTTGGAGGGTGCGACAGCAGTTGCCTTTGGCACGCCCGGCGACAGCACCAGTAGTTGTCTTTGGCCTGATTTCGAAGCGCTCGCTTCAGCTGCGGCCGGCACGGCTGGCTGTTGTCGGGCCTGAGACAAAGCCTTGGAGGGTGCGACAGCAGTTGCCCTTGGCTCGCCCGGCGACAGCACCGGTAGTTGCCTTTGGCCTGATTTCGAAGCGCTCGCTTCAGCTGCGGCCGGCACGGCTGGCTGTTGTCGGGCCTGAGCCGAAGTCTTGGAGGATGAAACAGCAGTTACCTTTGGCTCTCCCGACGGCAGCACCGGTGGCTGTCTTTGATCTGGCTTGCACGCGCTCATCGAGTCGACACCAGCTTTCTTCGCCTCGGCTGCCGGCCGCCCCGCGGGCTGTTCGCGATGCTTAGTTGATACCTTCGCCAGATCGACACCGTTCTTGGCCTCAACGGCGGCCAACGCCTCCGCAGTCGACGCCCTCGCCGGGTAGACAGGTTTCTTCTCCTCAACTACCGTCGTCGGCGCTACCACCCCCGCCGCCGCCGCCGCCGCCGCCGGCTGCCGTTGGTCCTGAGTCAAAGCTTTCACAGGGTCGACAGCCTTGCTCGAGTCGCCATGCGTAGCTGTCACCGCCGCCTTCCCGGGCGTCCCCAAAGAGAGATTCACGGCCGGCGGAGCTAACGACGGAGGCGGCAGCGTTAACGCTGGCGTCGGTGGAGGCGCAGTCGCCATGGACGTCGCCGCCGCAACCACCGGCCGCGCCGCGTACCCCATCCTTAAGTCTGGCGGAAACACGTACTCTCTCACCGGTGCGGGTGCCGGTGCCGCGGCTGCTGCTGCTGCCGCTGCAGATACCGCCGCCGCCACCCCCGCGACCAGCTGCCGTGTCTTGTCTTCCGCCGCAGCGCTTCCTCCTCCGTTGGAGGCCTCGCTGCCGCCGCCCCCGGCCGGCAAGCCCGGGCCAGCGGCGCGAGGGAGCGGCGCCGAAATGATTCCCTGCTGTGGCCGGTTCTCAGAATCCCCGGTGGCCTTCCGGTTGATCGCTTCGCGCCCCCCGCCGCGGCTGATGCTGCCTGTGGCTGCTGCCGCTACACCGCTCGGCCGCGCTGCGCTATCCGCCGGGATACTGACAGGGAAAGCGCTCGCGTTGTTGACACCCCCTGAGCTGGGCAGCCCTTCGGATGACCCCACACTGCCGCCCTCCGATCTACTCGCCGCTTCTTGAAGCTCTCGCTTCTTCTCTACCCACTCCGACGAGCGGTGCTTCCGAGGCTTTATTCCCAGCTCCGCGTGCTTGCGGTTCCAGTAGGCTACCTGAACATGTACACACGGCCGTGGGATCGGGGTATGAAGGCTCAGGTTTGGAGTGAAGGTGTCGGCCAAACGTGGTACGAGGGGAAACCAACGACAAGACGTTAATTTACGGTAGTCCTGGACCCAAGTAAGAGGGGTAACGGAAACACCCATCAGTTCTACGACGAGGGTGGAAGCGCCAACAAAAAAGTGAAAACACGATAGTCCACGGCAATCGAAACTGAACGGAACGCCTGGTTAAAGCAGGCACGGCGACCCTCTGTGTTTACCCCCTCCTGTGTGACCCTGGATGGTTGTAGTTGTACGAGAAAAAAGACACCGAAACGTAATTGATGTACATAAAATGTGTAGTACACATCTCACCACGAAGAATGGGGGGACTGTCGCAATAATAAATAGGACGAAAACACACCACACGGCGACGGAACGGCAAACCGCCGCGAGAAAGGGGAAGAACAAACTAAGCTGCGCACACCACTACAGACCACCCACAGCGGGGGGGAAAACACCCGCTAGCGACAACAACGGCACCAACCAACCCCGCCCTGTCGTGCTACCTGACACCCAGTTTTCCCCGAAAGATCCCCTCACCATGTAGCACGGCTTGCACTGCCCCCTCGAGTACAGCGGTCGGTCCGTGTGTTCGCACGCCGTAACCACCCCCTTGCGCGACGTCCTCGGCGAGGCCCGCTTTCTAACGGTCTCGCCTCCTTCCCCCGCCGCCGCTGCCGCCGCGGCCTTCGGCTGGCGCTTCGAGGTGAGCCCCGCCCCACGGGCACGACCGCCGCCGCTACCGCTGCCGCCCCCGCCCGCTGGGCAGTCCGTCTTCCGCGGTCTGCCTGGACCACGCTTGACGACGACTCCGCCGGCACCGCCCGGGCCAGCGCTGGCGCCCGCGCTGGCGCCCGCGCTACCTCGACCCCGCTTGCGTCCCCGTCGCCGGCCGTCGCCGCCGCTGCTGCTGTTCCCGCTGTCGCTCATCGAGTAGCTCTCGTCGCTAACGTCGCCCGCGGCTCGCCTCCGCCGGCGGACCTTGTCACCCCCGAAGCGGTAGTTGATACCGCTGCCGCTACCGCCGCCGTCGCTGTCGCTAGCCCACCCGCCGCCGAAACTCCACTCGTCGTCGCTGCCGCCGCGGAACCTCCGCCTGTTGTGGCCCCGGGTCGACCGGAGCCCCGCCCGCCCCCCTCCCCCTTCCCCCGAAGAGGCAGATGCCGAACCCAACCCGCCGCCGCCGTTTGTGTCCACCTCGAGCTCACGTCGGGAGGGAAGCGCGACGCGCTGCAAGGAGTCGCCACCTTCTCGGCCGCTGCTGCCAAAGCCGTACCTGATCGCGGCGGGGCTGGAGGCGACAACACGGTTCTTGCTCCCCTTCGGCCTGCCCACCGGCCGCCCGGTGCCGGTCCTCCCCGTCGCCGGCTTGGGCTTGTTGGCGGACCCCGGCGGTCGCCCCGGACGTTTCGGTGCCGGGACCGTCTCTCTCTCCCTAAGTCGGTCCTCCTTCAGGGCGTACGGGTCCCGCGGGGAGCGGCGCTGGCGCCGCCGCTTAACGCCCAGGCCCCCCCGGCGGGGGATAACTACCCCGTGCTCCGTGCCCTCGGGGATCTTGGGGGCCGGCAGGGAGCGGGCCTCCTCCGACACAAGCAGGCTCGAGGCCTCCGGCGGCCGCGACCCGCCGGTCTGGAGGAGGATCGACACGCAGTCCGGGCACCGGCACCCGCGCACGTCCCCTCGAAGCGACCACCGCTTCTGCCTCCTGCCGCCGGCATCGGTCTTGCCGTGGTGGGCGGAGCTTCCTCCTCCGACTGACTTCGGGGCAACAGCGGCAGCAGCAGCAGCCTCCGCTCCATCCGCGGGGGTCCTCAGGGCAGCCGATCGACGCTCTGGACGTCTCGCGGCGGCGGCGCCGCCGCTCGCGTCGCCACCGCCAGCGGGAGCGTCCGCGACCGATCCCGCTTCCCCGCCGCCCGGGGTAGGGGCGGCGGCGGCGGCGGTGGCGGCGGCGCCAGCACCAGCACCAGCACCAGCAGCGGGACCGCTGCTGTCCCGATCCGTTGTGGCCATCCCCAGCGACGATGATGAAGAAGAACCTCCGCCTCCCACCCCGGCGCTGCCTTCGACAGCAGGGTCAAAGGACGGGCCAGGAGCGGGCGGAGCTTCGACCCCTTGTGATTTCTCCGGGGCAGGTTCGGACACCGCCCTTGAGCTTGTGGCTGCCGCAGCCTCACTCGTTCGCGCCTTCTCCGACGCAGTCGTAGCCTCCGCCGCTAGGGCCACCAGCGCCGCCGCCACCGTCGCCGTTGCCTCCGACGACGCCTCCGCCGGCCGCTCGTCGGAAGAGGAAACCCTTGCGGCTGCCGTCTGTTCTTTCGGTGGCGGCGGGGCGTCGTCGGCCTCGCTGTCGCTGTCCAACAGGAAGGAGGTGCAGCGGGGGCAGTACCACTCTCCACAAGGCTGGCTGGACATATGCGCGCAGCCAAGGTGAAACGTGGCCTCGCAGCTGTTTCCACGGCAGACGGGGGGAGACACAGACAGACGGACAAGAGACAGGGACGGAGAGAGAGGGATACGGAGAGAGAAAAAGAGAAACAGATAAGAGGGAAAGCGTCAGGTGGGGCGAGGTATTGAGTCGTCGGTGTTTTCTGGCAGCGGCACCGCAGAGAAATCTTGGGCAACCATGAGGGGAAACTTTCAGGAGACTTCAAAAGGATTATCATTATAGCTTTGCGTGCACTTTCACAAGCAGGCGGTGCTGATGTGTGTTCGCGCAGCAGAGACACGCCTCAAGAAGACAAACGCCTCCAAGAGGACCAGCAAAAAATAACCTGCAAAAGAAAAACGCGACCCAAAACACGCACACCGGCCCGCCCCCGCGCTTACCCGTCGCAGACGAGCACAGACGGCCACGACCTTTCCGTCTGCTTGCAGCGCCCGCAAATCGGGGGAGGGAGTGCTGTCGTCTTGGGCACGGAGCTAGAGGCCCGCATCGCCGCCGCCGCTGCCGCCGAAATCGCCGCCGTCACTGGGGGTGGGGTCGGCGCTAGCGCTAGCTTCCCCCCCGTCTTGGAAGACGGCCAAGAGAAAGACGAGGAGGACCCACCACCGACGCCGTTGCCGCCCTCTTTCGCGGAGCTCGCCGGCGCACCGGTGGCGGCGGCGGCGGCGGCGGGCGTCGACGACGGCGACGCCTCCGGCCGAGGGCAGTTAAGCCGCACCACGTTCTCCCCTCGCCGCTTGGCTTTGTTGTACTCCCTCTGGCGTTACCGGCGCACGACGGTGTGTGGGGCGGTTTGGGACAACACCGGCGACGATGTTTTGTGAGGTGGTTTGGAACAGACGGATGAAATGGAACACTCTAATGCGGCGCCTGTTTGAGCATGACGGCGTAACGGTTGCACCGGCCTGTCTATGATGCGAACAGCCCTTCAGGAAGAGCCTTCTTCAGAGGCCAAACACTAATGTTCACGTCCTGCAAAGCGCCTCCTTCTCCTCTCTCTCCTGCTGTCTCTTTGTCGGTTTCTCTCTGTCCCCCATGCACAACGTCGCTGTCTACGCCGAGGCTGTCAAACTCCACAGACATACACCACAAAATGCCCCTCTATCTTTCTTGGCGCCCTCTCCGCTCACCATGTAGCAAGGTCTGCAGAAGCCCTTCCCGTAGTGGGGAGCGTCAGCGTGCTCGCAGCTCGACACCGTTCTGCGCCAATGTTTGTCCGAAATGGTGGTGCCACCGGCTTGTCCCTCCGGCACAGCCTCGCCAGCAGTAGTGCGTTGCGCCAAAGTCGCTCGCGATGAAGTAGCTTGCGATGAAGTCGCTTGCGCTGAAGTAGCTTGCGATGAAGTCGCTTGCGCCGAAGTCACTTGCGATGAAGTCGCTTGCGACGAAGTCGAAGCAGCAGCAGCAGCAGCAGCAGCAAGAATCTCACGTCTTGACCTGCGGCGCCTCCTGCAAAAGAAAACGCACACAAGACACACGCGAAAGAAAGACAAAAAACAACAACGAAAAACAATATTTCAAGCACATCAGTCAGGACCAGCAAGGGTACACTCAAGAGAGTCGCACAAAATACGTACACCATAAAAATCAGAGGCAAGCCAATTGTTGTTGTTTCTTCACATTAAAAACCGTTCCGTCTCCGCTCAGTACCTTCTACTGCCCGTACTGGTCCAACCGACGCGGACGCCTTCCGTGGTCACAAGCCAACTGCCCCACCAAAGGGGGGATACACCTTTGAAACAATAATAAACAAGAAATCAAGTGCAACAAGACAACACCAACAATATGTCCTTCTATAGCTGTTTTTTTACTTCTTCCAAGTGTGAAACACCCTTCGTGTGTGAGTCGTATTAATAGTTGCCCTGTGAACATGGAATGCGTCTCCATTCAGTTTCACCCGTACGAACGTTACACAAAGGTCCTGGGAAGGCCCTGAGCACAGACTGGATTGTTCTCAACCCCTATGTGACTACAATTCCGAATACTTCGTCTGCAAAACGATCGCAAAACACACACGGACGTCTCCTCGTTGGTCTGTCCCCCTTGCCGCCGTGATTCGTGCGTGTGTACCTACTTTCGCGATTGTGTGCACACATGTAACATGTTGGAGCATTTGCCCTCCAAGAGCAAGTTCTTGGCGAGGAGGCTCAAAAAAACAATTGTCACGTCAATTCAGCCACGTGGAGAAAACAACGACAGCAACAAAGTAAGGAGAGACGGACGACCGGCTGGAAGAAGAAAAACAAAAACAACCCAACAAAAAAACATGCCTCAAACCAGCGGGAACAGACCTGCGAGTCAAGGTTGTGTATCCGGAATATCCGCCCTCGGATTCACAGGACGCGTTCCCATCTGCGGAGCCCGCTACGCATAGGACGCGGAGCACGAGGGGAAAAAAAAAGTTGTGATATTGTACCGTACACGGGAATTAACCTTCGATGCGGTGAAACGTGCGAACGACCCGCGCAGAATCATCATCCCACATTCCATGACAGTCGAAAGACCCGGCTAACCTATCGGGTCTTGATAGATGGAACTAGTTGTTACAAGTGCTTTATAACCATGCCGAACACTGCACCAACTAGGAGAACAAAGTGTCACTTTTCGGGCGACGGTAGCCCCCCACGCACGCACTCTCGACGACAGAACCCCCTCACACACTTGCGGACGACGCCCTCCCCCCCCCCCCCCCCCCCCCCCCCCCCCCCCCCCCCCCCCCCCCCCCCNCCCCCCCCCCCCGCCCCCCCCACACACACATGCTCGCACGACGGGACCCCCCACATGTGCGTTCGGACAAAGGGTCCCGAGGCCACGCCTTCATGTACCACTTGCCTGTCACAGCCGCAGGCTTTTTGCCGGGTGGCTTACCCGCCGCACCCTGCATGCGAGTCTTCTGGTTATACTCCTGCAATGGGAGAAGGGGTACATGACAAAGGACAGGGTGGTCGTTGGCGAGTGCATACAGCGACGAAATAACAACGTAAGCGACAGCGGTATCAGCAGCAGCAGCACCACCACCACCAACAACAACAACAACAACAACAACAACAACAACACCAACAACAACAACAACAACAACAACACCAACACCAACAACAACAACAACAACAACAACAACACCAACAACAACAACAACAACAACAACAACAACAACAACAACACCACCACCCTCACCAGCAATACCACCAAGACCACACTATTAATACGGTGAAATACGACTCCAAACCACAAAAAACGCCAACAACATCGACAACACTACCAACACCACCAGCACTTCCACTGCAAAGACCACACCGACTTCCACCCAACGCCGACGCCAACTGCAACAAACTCGATCAAATGAACTGTGAAAGAGAGAGAGTGCGGGTGTGCGCTGGGCAACCGGCTGACCTTCATGTAGCAAACCTTGCACTTCCCGTGGCAGTAGTGCTTGCTGTTGGGATGTGGGCACCTGGATTGAGGGTGGGACAGCAGCAACATTGACGACCAATCAATGGGGAGAGGTTTACGGATGGCTGCGGATACACACATTGGGCACCCGGGGACAACAAGTGTGCTGACCAGCCGTCCTCTCAAAACAAGGAGCCAGGGCCATCGAACACAGGGACACACTGCAGCCGCAAGCAAGCAGATAAGCAAATAATGATGTTAGCGAATTCCATCGATCCGGGGACAAAAATCAATATATCCCCGCACGGCTCTCGAAAAGCTGCGGGGGCCAAGGGGCGAGAAAGAGAGAAACGCAGTATCCAGAACGCTGTTGTTGTCATGGATGAGAAAATTTGACGTTTCGTCAAGGATCTGACGGCGAATAAGCAAGGGACTGACACAAAAAAAAAGGTTACACGAAAAAACACGTACCACTTGGTCGCCTCTCGCCCCCCTCCAAGAGCCAAAGGATCCATCTCCCGTATCATACCGCAAGCACACCGAATCACGCCTTCTACTCGCAACAGCTGGTTACGAGGTCGCCCCGCACCACGCGACCGTTTTTTAGGAAAATAAGGCGGTTCTTTTCAACTCACTGGTCATTGACGCCCTTGGGCCTGCCCAACAAGCGCCCTGGCCTGGTCACCCCGCCGAGGGCGCCCGCGGCGCTAGCTCTCGCGTCACTCCCCTCCCCACCCCCAACCGCGGGGCCCCCAGGATCGACGTTGCTACCGCCACCGGTGTTGATGTGGTTGTTGCTGCTGCTGTCGCTGTTGCACCCACTCCTGCCGACCGCAGCCTTTGGTGTCAAAGGGAGGTGTTTTTCGGTCGTACGGCGCCGCGATGGGAGGCAAGGAGAGTAAGAGACGACCAGGCGAAGAAACTCGCCAACACCAGCCCTTACAGAGTTACCTCGCTCATGAGTTCTACGGCATGCTACACCCGGTACGCTCACCGTGGTGTGCACAGTCGATCTCTTGCATCATCATAAGAAGAGCCACGGACTGGCGGTTGTACTCCAACACATCGCGAGAAACTAAACTAAACCTCGCCAACTCCACAGAGAGGCAAGCAAGGCGGCCGTAAACTAATATGAAACCGCACCCCACGGCGGTCAACGAACGTGATGCGAACAAAAAAAAACTGCAACGGTTACACTTGCCGGTTCGTTGTCGAAGTCGTAACCGTCGCGAGACACGCTTCCTTCCTCCTTGCCGGCCCATCGAGCAGATCTTGCTCTTGACCTCGGTCCCCCAGCCGCTGCTCCAGCTCCATCCTCCCGTAGGTCGGAGGAGGCCGCTGTTCTCCGTCGCTTGGTCCGCTACGATCATGGAGACCAAGGTTCATGCGCGGGATTCTGCCGTTACTGTTTATTGGCCGCGAAAGGGAGAGAAGAATGTATCCACGCGGTTTAACTACCTTCGGCATCTATCTGGTTAGTTCATTGCTGCCGAAATGACGCACGCAAACAGAACACCGACGACAATCAATCATTCCCCCCGTTGTTTCTTCCCGTCGCACCGGTGCATCTATCGCTCTGTCGCCCACCGCTGTGGTGTTATCCTCACTCCCTCCTCCGATGCGGACGACATCTACCCAACCTGGCCCGGCGTGCTCCCGGCACATGGTAGGCTGTTGTCGCTGATGCTGCTGTTGCTGCTCCTGCGGCTGTGATTGTTGTTGTTGTTGTTGTTGTTGTTGTTGATGTTGTTGTTGTTGTTGTTGTTGTTGATGCTGCTGCGGTTGCTGCTGCTGCTGCTGTTCCTGCGGCTGTGATTGTTGCTGCTGCTGCTGCTGCTGCTGGAAACCGCGCTCCGCGTCTCCGAGAAGCAAGCGAGCCGCCGCCATCACGTCGTCGAAGCGGGCTGCACTTGCCGCAGCACCACCCACAACCGCCGTGCCATTCTCCGATCGGCCGTTGGCCACGTCCATGGCAACAGACACGTCGGTTGCAGCAGCACTGCCACTACCGTTGCCAGGCCCAACGGTAGCCGCCGCTTCCGCTGCCGCCGCTTCCGCTGCCGCCGCTACTCCGTTGCCAGTACCGCAAGAACTAGCAGACGCACCCTCCCCCTCTCCAACGTCAACATCCATTGCCACCTCAGCAGCACCGTTCACTGCCGCCGCCGCGGCCGACACCCCACCGGCGGCAACGGCACCGCTCCCGCTCCTGCCACCGTCCCCAGCGCTAGCGCCTACCGCAGCCTCCGTCCCAACGTCCGGAGCGGGTCGTTTCCTCTTGCAGCTTGCACCCTCCCCGCCGCCGCCACCGTCCCTGTCCCCGTCTTCGGGGGCAGCGGTAGCGGGGGTTCCCGCGGCAGAGACAGCGTCGTCGCCGCCGCCGCCGCCGCTGGCGGGGGACGGCAACGGCGGCGGCGGCGGCGCGTGCGTGGCCAGACGGCTGCACCCCAATGGATGCCGGCATTCCCTGCCGGGAATGCGGTGATCCTTACAGAAGCGCGCCTTCTGGCCCTTGGCCCCCAGCGGGTCGTGACTCGGAGACTGGGTGCAGCGACGAGCACCATGGGGGGGGTCCAGCAACAGGTGGCGACAGCGTGGCGGAAAGGCAGGGTGTTGATGGGACGGAGGCGACGGAGTACCGACGATGCTAAGGGGAAGACAAAAACACGAAATCACAGACGCAACACAGAGGACAAAACAAAAAGAAACACGACACACACGACAGATCCACAACGATAACTTGTGACACAACACAGAGCTTCTGGGTGCTCTTGATGTACATACCATAAGTCCGCACGATCGTTGGGCGCAAAAGCAATCAACATGCCGGGTAGGGCACACAACACTATTGTTTCTACTTTATCCTGGGCTCGTATCTGTGGATAGAGATGGATTGGTATCAGTTCTTGCAATAAACTGCAATGAAACACACTTTTAATACAATGAATTCACGCCCACAAATATTGAACCACTCCCTCACCTTGGTACAGTCCGGGACCATGCATCTTCCACGTCGGACGTTGATCATCCCCTCCTCGCTGTGCTTATGACAGAATTGCCCCTTGGATCCCGGAAAGCCAAAGGATGGGCTCTTGTTGCACCTCGCGCTTTCGCACGACTAACAGGATCGTTGCGGGGGGGGGGNGGGGGGGGGGGGGGGGGGGGGGGGGGGGGGGGGGGGGGGGGGGGGGGGGGGGGGGGGGGGGGTACGTGGCGACATCGACCCTCAGAAATGTATGTAAGGAAGAGCTTTGATTTCGCACCTTTCTTTTCGGCTGGTCGGGTCCCTCAGTAGTGCTGGCATGCGCCTGCCAGATTTACCGGCGCTGGACCGGGTCAGTGGCACTACTGAACCGGCACTATTGAGGGACCGGACCCTCACTGTACCAAAATTGGGATCCATTTGATATGCAAGATGATTGTAACGATCAACACAAATGAGAGAGTGGGGGCGGCACGGGGTAACACGGTGAAACATGCTCTGAGAAATGGGTGAACGGGCTTTGTTAATGCTTTTCATCTTGACACAACATAATTGACGGGCAGTCGCGACATGGTGGTTACCGATAACGACACAAGATAACACACCCCCCGGCCAGATTTTCCAAGCTCGATTTATCAACAGCAGAAGGAGCAGGGGTGCCAAAAATGGCGGCGTTGAAGCCTTCTGGTCGAGATATCTCCGAAAACGTATCGTTTCGTTATACATCCTCTTGATCGTGGAGTAATCGAGCTTTGAAAACAGGTTCCAGGACGGGTGTTATCTTGTGTCGTATACGGTAGCGGTACGCACGCACGGACGCATACGAATAGTCGGGTAACAAACAATATTCCGGTAGTTGGGTATGGACTGCTGTGGACCCCAATGCTTGTGCTGGCTGTGGCATTGATTGCGGTGACTTCGGCAGTGGCGAGCGTGGTCATTCTTGTTGCAACGCACTGGATGCTTGTGTCGAACGGGTGTGTGTGTGCACACCAGCTCTATACATCATCTGCGAGACATCGCTTATCCACTGGCTTGCACAGACTCTGTTCTACCAAGAACCAGACCCAACTCCGAGGGCGCCGGGGTAAGGTAGCCCACTGCTGTACCACAACAAATCAATAGTTGTTCGCGGGCCTTTTATTCCTCAGTGATAGATCTTGCCAATGTGCAAAGTGTCCGTCAACATAACAATTCCTTGTAGCAGACAGCGTAAATCTGTAAAAACTGTGGTGGGCAGATGCAAAACAAAGGATAAAAATGAATTTGGGTTTGTGTCTGGCGTGCTGTTAAAATCATATTTTGTCAGCATCACCCAGGGAATAATTTGGTCATTCTTTCGAGCAAAATGCTGGCAACTTTACTAATTTTAATCCGTGCACCGCGAACTGAAAGTTATTTCGGGATGATTTCGACGTATATTGGCCCACAATGTTGCAGTTGTTCCGAAAGCAAAAAGTTGTCGGCTACAGCCGCATCAGCTCGATGCCGCCGTAACGACTGTTGTTTTGTTTCGCTTTCAAAAAGTTGCTTTTGGAAAGTTGGCACGCACAACGCACGTCATGTACGCAAAATTATCCAGAACGGACCTCCTGCGTGTGGGTCGATTTGTACGATTCTTTTTTTTGTGTTGATGGTTTCGGGGAGTAGCAAAGACTTGTACACGCAAGCAGGAACCGCAATTTCCACAGAACCACTTCTAAAACACAGCCAAGATCTAGTGTGGCAATCATTATTGCTATTCCTCGTTGTGACTCCGGCTGGTCAACCAAATCATGTGGACTCAACTACACAATCAATATTAGTAGGGTGTTGCTAGTTATTAATAGGGGTTTGTGAAGGCCAAGTAGAGCACACTGAAGAGTTGGAAGCGAGCTCCAGGAAAATGAGAAGCTCCCAGAACCTCAACGAAAACTTCAACGGTTGTGGTGGGCACAAAATTAATGTGACCCAAAGCTACTTGTTGGGTTTTGGGAGGAACACTTAGACGGGACGAAACGCACACGTTGGCGTAGCTCGTCTCATTTCATTGATTAGAGCGTTGATCCACAGCAGAGAGCAGCACACAACTATCCACCACTCTCTCCCCAGAGTACTGCTGTAGCACAACCACCCCAACAAGTGTCAGGAAACATAATCACAAACACAGAAAAATCGCCCATTAAAGATATAACCACAGTCGAACGGGATGTGTTGGAGTCTTTGCAGTGAATGGAGGGAAACCAAGTGTATTGTGCGTGAAGCACGTTCAACACATCATCAACACCAACATAACTCACCCATCCAAGGAGAGAGAGTGACCATCTACAGCAGTGACCCTCGTACAGATTCGTTCTAATCTCACCTGGTACTCCGAAGTCTAGACTACAGCAGTTGGTCCAACTACACGAACACATTAAAAATCCGATAATTAATGTTTTATCGATGCTCTTTGGACGGGGTTTGCAACAGCAGACACACACAAGATGGCTACCAGGGACGGCTACCAGACTGGCTTGTTGGGCCTGTTACCCAGAGGGAGATATCACTTTGTGCTGCTTGGGAAATCGTAGAAATAAAGGTAGCTTCCGCTGACGCGATGAAGTATCGCACGTGAATTATTATAGTGCTGAATCAATACGAATGGGTAGTCTTTCTGTGAGTGTATTTATTTTTCCGTAATACTAATAAACTATCCTACTAGACTCTTTTGAATGGATAGATACAGATTTGTTGCGTTATGCATACATCGAGAAATAAAACAAAGAACAGCACCGGAAAAAAAAGTGTGACGGCGTGACGTTGCTTGGGCCAGCACTTCAATGTCCATGTGGTGATCATTTTCGGGTTTTATCCTGTACAACGTCATTACTTTCGAACGTAGTACAAAAAAAAATAATCAGGGGAGGAGACCATTGCCGCTTTACGCTGCGGTAGCCAGCGAGACACGACACAACGACTGTCTATGTACCAGTATGCATAGAACATGCGGTTGTAACATGCGTCTGCGTACGATATTTACATCTTTACGCATTAACTTGCTCCGGAAAATTGGGGGTGTGGGAGGTACAGAGCCGCAGCGGTGTCCACGCAATGCAATTGTAAAATGAACTGGAGCTCAAGTAGCGACGCATGCATAGCAGCCCATTGATGAATTATGACAACGTCCGTCAAGTGCTCACCGTGAAATACGAAGCAAAAGCTGGCAACATGTTTCACTCTTCATCTGGTATGATTGTGTGCCAAACATCAAGACGCGCATGACGAGAGAGCCTCACACAAAAAAAAATCAATTGCATAATCCGTACCAAGGCCTTGACGAGAGAAGGAATGAAATTCTATAAGTGGTTTATGCATGCGTAACACGTTAGAGTAGACAGAAAACACACAAAAGGCGATCCAAAACCCCAGTTGTGACCTACTGCTGTCTGTCGAGATCATTCGTGTTCCATTATCCATTCGTAGAATGGAAAATAGTCTAACATTGCATGCATTTTCCAAACAGGAGGGTGTTTCGGGGCGTCCACGTCCTAAATACGTCGGACGTTTTTGTTTCCCTCGCGTGCGAGTTTCTTTGATAAGTCATCGCGACCGCGCTAAACGACTACAGCAGTAGAACTGGTGTGCTCGTGCCTGATTTGCCATCGCATTTTCGTTTGTGGCCCGTGCGAACGCAAAAACTAAGGGAGGAGCTTGAGAAAGA